TCAAATAAGTAAATAAAATCTTAAAAAAAAAAAAAAGAAGAAGAAGAACCGATCTGGACCATCATCCCGGGGGCTTGGAGGGACACCCAGTCCTTCCTTAGCTCTCTTGGACTCAGTACCAATAAACAGCTACCATTTCAAGGCTGATATGCCAGGCAGCATTCTAAACACGCCCTACGGAGTCGTTTATTTCCTGAAAGCACGCTAAGAGGTGGGTGCCCTAAGGAGTCCCATTTTACGGCTGATACGACTGAAGCACACAGCTGAGTGTCACAGGGAGGATCAGAAGTGAGATGCCAACCCAGGCAGTCTGGCTCCAAGGCCCCCTTGAGCATAGGTGTGAGCGACCGCCACCAGCAGCAAACCAGACTTTCTCTGGTTCGTTGCAATGTATCCAGCAAGTTCTTGGGCAGGCAGAGAGCCAGCCCTGTGCCCCTCTCCAGTCTCTCGCCTTCTTGGTGCCCTCTTCCCCTCCGGGTTGATCCAGGCCAGGGCTGTAGCTCACGTGTGGGGGTGGCAAGCCTCAGGTCCCTCCCCAAGCAGACTTTCATTCAAATCTCCCCAAACCCTAGGAAAGGGATATGATCTCCTCCTACAGATGGGGAATCAGCTCAGTGGATAAGTGACTTGAAGACACACAGCCCGTAAGTGAGGAATTGGGCGGCAAAACCAGCTCCCTGGACCCTAGGTACCTGCTATTCTGCTCCATCTAGCTTCTGCTGGGAACCGGTTTTGGAACCAGCCAGCCTTGGTTCCCCCAGCCCACCTCCTGACTGTGTGACCTCCAGCAGCCTCCCAGGAACCCGACAAAGGACAGCGTGGGGAGAGGAGACCTCCTCCCTGCCTCTCCACCAAGCCTAGCTCTTTCCGCCAAGCCCAGCCCTCGCCTCTGGCTCCTACCTTCCCCACCCATTCCTTCACCTGCTTTGCTCCCCCGCCCCACCCGTTCTGCTCCTCCCTCCTTCCCGGCCCTATGACCAGCCACAGTAACTTTCACCTCCTTTGCTTGGGTGTTAAGGTGCTGTGCGATTTTACAGACTCTCATTTAATTCCTACCACCCTCTGAGGGAGGCCCTATTATTATGCCCTGTTTTATAGATGAGTAAACTAAAGCACAAGGGTGATGTCATCTACCCAAGGTCACACAGTGGGTCACGGGCAAAACCAGGGTCAGTGTCAGGTGTGCTCCAAGTCTAAGTGAGCACTAAGTTTCCCACCTGTCAATGCTGAAGACCCTCAGATCCGAGTCTCCAGACTAGGTGTCCAGCTGCCTGTGGAAGGTTGGCAAGGGCCTTGGAGTCAGGGGTGTGACCTCTGCCACGCTCTCACCTCCATCTGCCGGAGGTTCTGTCAACTCAACCGCTTGGAATCTCCCCTGGCCGCTACCAGCACCCCTCCCTGGATGGAGGCTGCAGGGACGGCCAGCCCCTCTCTCTGTGCCAGCCCAGCTTCCACTAATCCACTTTCTGGGGGGGGATCTGGGGGGCTCAGTTGTTAAGTGTCTGCCTTGGGCTCAGGTCATGATCCCAGTGTTCTGGGATCGAGCCCTATGTCGGGCTCCCTGCTCAGCGGGAAGCCTGCTTCTCCCTCTCCCACTCCCCCTGCTTGTGTTTCCTCTCTCGCTGTCAAATAAATAAAATTTTTTAAAAAGTAATTATAATCCCCTTTCTAGACTGTGCCAAACCCTTCAGCTTGTGCATGCCTATCTGTACAAATAGCTGATCTCCCACTCCCAATTAGGTTTTTCTAGAACTGAAAGAGGCAAGCCACCAACACTAGCTAATATTTCATAGCAGAGTTCTTAAGGCAAAGATCATTCTCAATGAACATGGATGTAAGTCCGTTTCCAGAGTCTGGGTATTTTCAGATGTGCGTGTGTGGCGGTGGTTGGCTTTTCTTCAGTCTGATTTGCTGAGTTCTTGCTGTGGCCGTGAGACTCTCTGCATCCTGGGGGTGCTTGGTGTTGCCATTTTCTTCTGATTTCTTGGCGCTTGTGTCATTACCATGGTCTTCAATTCTTGGTTTCTTGGCGGGAAACTTCATGTCACTTGTCCATTTGTGTGTTAATTCAGCTACCAGGATAAAACACACAGGAAGTCCCTCCAAACGGTGGTTGGAAAACCACAGTCCCGCAGGCCGTGTGTGCGTGTGTGTTGTGTGTCAAGCCCTCTGGGGTGGGTGGTTCTCCCTCCTTGGCACCCACTTTGTGTGCATTACTCTCTGACCTACAGCCTGAGGACCCGCTGCCAGCCCAAGGTATAAAGAGCTTAGTTTCTTTTATGATACACATCAAGATCCTGTGCATCAAGCCCTAACACATTTGCCCTGACCCTGTCCAGAGGGTCACCCCATCACGACCCCGCGAACCTCATGGACTCTCGTGCACCTCACAGCAGATCCCGAGAAGACAAGGTCATCGTTCTACTCCCCAGAAGAAAGCAGGATGCAGAGGTGGTAGGTAGGCAATTTGCCTGTCACAGGAGTTCCACTTGCTGGGATTTAAACCCCAGGGGTCTTTGGAAATAAACATTTCACAAGGGCACTTCCCTGCTTCAAGCCCCTCAGAGTCTCCCCATCAAGTGGGCCGGCTGTCACAGTCCCCTCCTGTCCGTAGCTTTGTCTTTCCATCTACCCAGCCTCCCTTTCCCACAATTTCTGGGACCAGGGTCTGTGTCCCCCTTCCCTTCGGGAACTGTTCCTCTGCATTCCTTACAGCTTTTGGGGCTCCTACTGCCGTAAGCGCCACCCCACTTCTAAGGAGAGTTGGGGGGCTGGAGCAGCCCAAGGACAACACGGAGACTCTCGAGCTGCCCATGCTTGGCTGGACGGCAGTGGGGGGGGTGCCCCGCACCCCAGCACATCTGTCCTGGGACCTGGACCTTGGCCCCTCCTCTGCCCTGTGCACTCATCCAGGTCCTTCCAACAGGCCAAGTGGGCTCCTGGGCCACACAGCAGTGCCCCTGCCCTCCCCATGCTCCAAGGGGTCCTGGTCTGGCCCTGGCCATGCAGTGCCTTCATTTTCAGCACAATTCTGGCCACCCCTCCCCCCTGCCTCTGCCTCCCACAGCAAGCAGGCCAGTTCCGCCAGTGCCCCCGGCCCCTTTATCCTCTGTGCAGAATGGTCCCCCCACCAGCCCACCCCAGTCATGTCCCTAACCCAACTTGACATCACCTTCCCTGGCAGCTCTCTCACAGGCCCCCGACTGCCTGCATCCTAAGACCTCCTGCCCTTGCCAGGATGGGGAGCCCCCCCGCCCACCCCGGGGCAGGGACCACATGGTCTCGGCCACCTCTGATCCGGTGTGCCTGGCATATAGTAGGTGCTCAGCAAAGACAGGTAATTTATAATTAAATTATAATTTAGCAGGTAGAAGCAGGTAAGCGAGGTAGAATCAAGTAGACCAAACGCCTGGTTTATAAGGACCAGAACAGCAGTCTGATCCAGGCCCCTCATCTAGGGATAAGACCCTTCAGCTCGGGGTATGGCCTCTGACCTCAATAGTGGCTCATGATCCTTCCCCGGAGTCTGGAAGAAGCTGCCGGGTCTGAGATACTGTGTCTTCCCCTTCTGACGGCAAGGAGAGGCCAGTCAAAGGGGACTCCCTCGGCCCTGACCCAGGGAAGCAGCCACGCAGACTCGCAACGGCTACCTCTTGCCGTTCATTCCCACACACGGAGGAGTCAGCGCTCAGGCCCAACCAAGCACACTTGCTCTGACTCAAACGGCTTAAAAAAGGGATTCCCTGGACCACCAGCCTGGTCCAGCAACGGGACCCCGGGGCAAAGGCAAGGGACTGGCTAACAATCATTTCCATTTACGTTGATAATTTCTCCACAATTAAAAAAATTAGTCATTGGACCAGTCTGGTGAAGAGGTAATAAGATGTTTATTAAAAACTCTTTTTCACCCAGAGGCAATTAAAATTTATAATTTAAAACCCAGCCCACTACAAAAAGGGGAGGGAGTAAAAACTGTGCAACATTGACAAGAGAACCAAGACAGACAAGGCCCAGGAGGGGCAGCCCCACAGCACCGGGGTCCCGCCTCTCCCGAGGCCAAGAGCAGCAGCGGGCCGGACACTGGGATCAGCTCCAGCCCCTGGCGCAGCCCAGGGCGCGGTCCTCGCAGGCGGGGCCGGGCCCCGGGAAGAGCCCTCAGTAGTGTGTGTTCATGGTGCGGCCTGGACCCACGACCTGCTCACTCTGCTGTGGAAAGAGACAGAGCAATGGCTCAGAGCCTCCTGGGCAGGCCAGCGGCCTCCGTCCCCCACCTGGAGCCCAGAGGTAGAGGTTTTCAGGACCCCTGGGGACCCGTGTGGGCGCCTTCTCCTCTCCCTCCATGTGAGGAGGCGGGCCTTCCCAGCTGCCCCCCAGCCCTGCAGCAGTGTCCAGAGCCCCTACCTACCTCCCCCATTGCTGAGACTGTACCCCACGGCCACTCGCTGAGAACGCCAATCGCCATAGCTCCTGCAGGGGCAGAGACAGGACAGTCACCATCCATGGGGGCCTTGGGGAGGGCAGACAAGGACCCTCATTCCCAGACACCTCCTGGCACCGCAGGGCCCATCTCACAGGCCCGAGCAGTGACTCACCCTCGGTCTCCCTCCAGTGTGCTCTGGATCTCCTTCAGGACCCCTGCAGGATTGGAGGGGGACAGAGGTGTGGTGACGCCAGCAGAGACCGGGCCAGACACAAATGTTTCTCCCCTCTTCTACTGGTGGGTGTTGGACGGGTCTGCCCCCTCAGGGTAATGGCCCTCACTTCTACCCTGGCCTTCCAGGCTTCCCTTGGGACATTCCTCACAGCAGCCCACCAACTCCTGCCCCAACTCACTCTCGTCATTAAGCAGAGCATGTTCCATCACTCGGCCGGGCCTTCTCTCTGAAAGGCAGAGGCAAGTCAGGCGAGCCCTAGGGCCTCTCTGCCCCAGCTCCCTTGGAGCGGGAGCGCCAGAGCCCAGAGCTCAGGACTGGAAGGGATGCTGTTTCCACCCAGCCTGCACACCCCCTGCAGGCCTGGGGTTCCCCTCCATCCTCTTTGGTCTGGGTCTGGGCCTGAGTATTACAATGCCTCTGTCCCCCCACACCCCTGGCCACAGGGAAGCCCGTCTTACCCTCTCCATCACTCTGGCTCCCTGAGTTCCTGTGGGGACAGAGATGGTGAGGATGGAGGGGGTTGCGGGGGGGGGACTAGGCTCCTCATTCCGGCTCAGAAAGCCCCAATCCCATGAAGAATGAAGTCAGCTGACCAGGCCCACCCTGAACCAGGGTGGTGAACCAAGCCTTGCCGGGGATGGCAACCTGCACGGGAGGGAGGCGCCTACGATGGGGTGTGGGGGGTGCTGGGGAGCCAGAGCTAGGAGGGTGGGGGGTGGGCTTAGCTCACCAGGGAGGGGATCTCTGGCCAGCCGCCAGCCTGAGGCCACCTGTCCTGCTGACCTGGCTCGGTCCAAGGCCTTCTCTGGGCCTGATCCGTTGCGGGGGCGGCTGTGGCTCTTGGTCTCTGCTGAATCCACCAGACACCGGGGCTCAACCAGCCACTTGGTGGAGAGAGAGAAGCGCTCGAACTCTGAGGGTGAGATCAGGTAGAAGCCTGCGGGCGGGGGAAGGAGGAGAGGCCAGACAGATGAGGCCGGCCCCCCGTTCCTGGGCCTGGCAGCTTGGGCCTGGCAGCTGCCGAGGGGACACCCCCACCCTCCAACCCCGCAGGAGGTACGAGGGGCTGGGGCCTCCCTCGAAGTCCTCGGCTGAGGTACCTCCGGCCTGGCTGCCCGGTGGGACCCCCACACTGCATACACCCCCCACCAGAGGTTCCCCCCGCGCCTGCCCCGGGCCCACCTTGGCCGTATTTGGTGAAGACACAAGAGGCAATGCCGCTGACGTCCTCACGCCGGATGCAGCTGTACCGCACCTGCGGCTTGAGCAGGGGTAGCGAGACCACCTGCACGTCGCCCAGGTTGGTGAGCACAGCCAGGTGGTGCTCCCCGTAGTCCTCGGCTCGGCAGCTGCCGAAGTGGGCCGCGCTGACCCGCCGCACCCGCGAGCCCTCCAGGGCGGTCAGCTTCAGCTTCAGCTTGGCACTCACCTTGGGCAGCGTGAACACCTGGGGGCAAGGGCACGGCTTGGAGCCCGGCCCGACCACGGCCCCCCACGCACCGTCCAGCCAAGCGAGGATTTCTGGCTTCCCTGCCTGGTGCGGCTGCACAGCCTGGCTCCCTGGAAGACGGCCCCCACCCTTCCCAGCGAAGTCGGCCCCCTTTCTGGGCGCCCCCTGGCGCTCAGCCCTGCAGGCCCTGGACTCAGACCGCAAGGAGGCCGGGCTTCCTTATTTCCATGTCTGTGCTTGCTGTCCCTCCCACAGACATAGGTCCTGCTTCAGTGTTCCCCACGCTGACCCTGGAGCCCTCTTCTTCTGTGCCTCGGTGGCCTTGCACACGTCCACTGCAGGAACCACAACCAGCCCGTCCTCTGAGCTCCCCAGACGCCCCCAGGATTCCCAGGGGGCCCGCCTGTACCCGAGCAGCACCTTGAACTGCTCCTCTGACACCACGAGCAGCTGGTGGCCTCCCTGCATGTCCGGGCTCTTTGACAAGTCATGAGCCACCTCCAGGGGCTCCGGAAGGGGCACGCTGTGTCCGTCCAGCACCAGGATGCCCACCACGGGCGCTCGGTGCATCAGCTGGATCTCCTTGGCTACAGGGAAAGAGGCAAGTCGTGGGTGAGGGTTGGGCACAGGGCAAGGCTAGAGGTGCCGCCCCACCCCAAACCTAGGCAGAGGAGCAGCACCCTCTGCTCTCCCTCTGCCCAGCACTCACCCTGCTCTGCCCTCACAGGCTCGTCCATTCTCCGCTCAGCAGGGGGCACGCGCAGGGCGAAGGCGTAGACGGTACCCCCATTGGTGCCGGCCCACAGCGAGGGGCAGTGGCGGGAGCCTGCCAAGAGGCAAAGGTTTGTACCTAACCCACGGTTCTGCGGGTCTGGTGGAGCCCAGTGACCTGGGCTTACGTCCTGGCCTTGCCTCTCACTACCTGTGTGACTCCAAGGTCAAGTTGGCAAACTCTGGAAGCCTCAGTTTCCTCCCCTGTAAAATGGAATGGCTGTGGGTCCTGCCTAGCCCCTGGGGTGTAGAAAGGCCAAGCTGGGAAGGCTGACAACAGGGGCCCCATGCACAGATCATCTTGAATCCAGGATAGCTTGACCCTCAAGACCCTCGTCCCTGCCCCACCACCCCTGCCCTGGTAGGAGGCCACAGGGGAGCTCCTGCAGAGCCCACTGGACCCCAGCAGGCATGTGACAGGGGGAAAAGTGACATGTCCCAGGTCACACTCCGAGAGCATGGCAGAGCATGAGTACGAAGCCAGTATAATCGGCCTTGGAGACGCAGGCAGGGGGTCCCGTCTCCCGTGCTCCCAAGTGAAAGCCCCTCTGAGGGTCCTCCCAGCCAGGGCGGGCAGGAGCCTCCAACATGCCCTTGGGCCAAGGCCGTGCTCTCCTGGGCCCCCCACCTCAGGCTGGCCACTCACTGTCCCTCAGGTAGGTGTCAGCGAAGTAGAGGGTCCGGACGAATCCCGTGAAGGAGTCCTCCGCCGAGCGGGCCTCGATCCTGCGCTGCACCGGAGCCAGCTCCATGCTCGGCGCCCCCGCGCGCTCGGGCCTGGCCGCCCCCTCCTGTCCCTGCAGCGGGTGGGGCCGGGCCTGAGCAGCGGCTCCGGCCTCCCCGTTCTGGGGACACGGGATTGCTCACCACCAACCCATCACACCACCACCCGTCTGGCGTCTCCTGAGAGCCTGGCCCTTTCCGCTTGGGGAAGGTGAGGCAGACACGCGGTGTGACGTAGCCAAGGCCACAGCGCTGGCGGCAGGGCGGGAACCTACTCAGCGTGGCCACAGCGAGTACGGGAGGCGGGGCTGGTGTGGACCCACTGCGGGCTGCTCAGAGCTCTCCCGGGCTTGTGGCCGGTCGCAGCCTCACCTCTCCAGAGGGACCAGCTGGCCGCCGCTTCCGGCTGGACACCCGACTCCGACGTATCCGGCGGAAGGACTGGCGCAGGGACTTCTTCAGGGACTTCACACGGGACAGTGGGCCCTCCAAAGCTAGCTGGTCACTGGGGTGCAGCGTGCATCTGGGGGCAGTGGGGGAGGACCACACACCCGGTCACCCGCGCTGCCAGGGCCCAGGGGTAAGAGCCCAGCGACAACCCTAGCTCCAGGCCCCAGACGCCCCGGGGAGGCTGCTCACTTGACAAAGACCTGCCGCCGCTGCTGGTGGTCAAAGAGGCCAAAACCATGGCTTGTGCCGAAGGCCACAAGCCGCCACTCGGAGTGCAAGGCCAAGGAGGTGACCACAGCCGGGGGCTGGCACTGCACCAGCACAAAGGGCTGGAAGCCGGGCTCGAAACGCACAGGCCCTGGGCGGGCGCACAGGCGCTCGTGCCCCTTCCAGCGGTAGCCCTCCTGGTCCTGCAGCAGGTCGGCCTCCACCTGCGCCACGCTGTGCTCTGCTTCCTCGTCGTTCAGCTCCAGCACCAGCACCTGGGGGGGAGGGGCAGGTGGGCTGAGCAACTTCCGGCTCCAAGGAACCCTGGGACCGCAGGGACCCTGAAGATGGAGAAGGAAGGACCCGGGACCCACGGCCAGTACCGGGGCCTGAGGACAGCCAGAAGGCCTCTGTCCAACCCTTGGCCCTGAATCCTGGCTTCTGGAGGAGAATCGGTCATCCCACAGGCCTGTCTCTATGGGGACCAGGCAATCCCTCCCCACGGGGAGAAGCCCCAAGCCACAGGGACAGGTGACAATCTCGGTGATACCATCCATGGGCGCTCAGGAGACTGGCTCCTGTCCTTGCCGCCCTCTATCCCCTGGACACTGCCCAAAGTCACCTGCCCACTCCTCCTCGCTGCCCCGCCCCCACCCCAGCCTTCTCACCTGCCCTGCCGTGCCGGCCACAGCCAGGTAGCCGCTGTATTTGCAGAGGAAGATCTTCTGGATGCCCAGCCTGGGATCATCACTGTAGGGGTCGAAGGAGCCCACCTGACGATGGAGGAGAGGGCCGCAGGTGACTGAAAGTACTAGACCCAGTCCGTCCTTGCCCTCCCTGGTTTCCAGGCTCCTGGCCTCACCTTGCGGAGTGGGGGCCACTCCTCCTCGCCCTGGACATTGAGGCTGTCGCTGGGGTCTGTGTCGGTCAGGAACACCCGGACCGTGCTCAACTTGTAGAGCAGCCGTAAGCACACGCCCGAGGCGTCCCAGAACCGCACCGTGCCGTCCTCGTGCCTGTGGGCGGAGTCCACCTGCCAGTCACGGGGGAGGCGGGGCCCGGGGGCTGCTAGGACTGGCCCGCACCCTGCTCTGCTCCCACCCCGCACAGTCTACTTGGCAGGAAGATGCCATGACGTTGCCTACCCCGTGAGCAGCAGGTCCCTCTGGGGAGGGGCTGGGGCCAGACTGGTGCCACCATCAATGGGCCACTCCTGAAGAAGGAGACCAGAAGTCCGTGGGCGAACTTGACCCGAGGCAGGGCCGGGGCTCGTGTTGGACCTACCATGGTGGAGAAGTGCATGTGCTGCTGGCTGCCCACGGCAACGATGCGCTCCCACAGCTTCAGGGGGATGTTGGAGACGTGGTGGGAGCAGGTGATGGCAGAGCAGTGCAGGGAGGCCAGGTAGGGAGGCTGCACCGGGGGCCAACCAGCCGCCTGCAGGTCAATCACCACCAGCTCCTCCTCAGCCAGAACCACCAGGGCACAGGGGTCGTCAAAGGCTAGGGGACAGGTGGGGACAGAGGTGGTAGGGTCAGGAGCCTCGGGAGCCTCGGGAAGCAGTTTCCCCCGCCCAGTCCTGCAGAATCTGAAGCTCTAGGGTTATACTCAGAGAATGTGCATTTTAAAAACAAGCTGCAGATCCAACAGAGTACAGACAGAATGACACCCCAGGACCGACGAAGCGGGACTCATCGCAGGTGCTCGAGGCGACCTCAATGTGTGAATGTCAATGAATGGAAGCCACCACGCACAGGCTAAAGGAACACAGGATCGTATCGGTATATGCAGGGAAAGCATCCGACAGACCCTAACACCGGTTTATGATAAGCTCTCACTAAGCTAGGAGGAGGAGAACTTGTCAACTTGGTGGAGATCGCCTACAACGAAGCTACAGCTCGCGTAACTTGATGGTAAGAAATGGGAAGCTTTCCCACGAAGATCAAGAATAAGGCAGAGGGCCCCTCTCTCGGCTTCTCCACAAGCCCTAGCCGATGCAATAAGGCAAGATAAGGAAATAAAAGGTATACAGCTTAGAAAGGAAAAAATAACGTTGTCTTTATTCACATATGACGGGATCAACTCTGTAGAAACCCCTAAAGAATGGACCCTACTCCTAGCATCCCCCATCAGGTGTGTGGAGGGAAGGGGCTGGGAAGGAGGAAAAGCAGGTTTGAGTCTCCCTCCAAATGGGCCAGTGTGTCCTGAGCAGGCTCAACCCCTTACCTGGAGGCCTTGGCCTCATCAGGCCAGACTCATGTGGAGGGGAGGCGCACCCTGACCGGCCTCCTCTCCAGATTTTCACATCAGCCCTTTCCAGTCGTGCCTGTCACCAGTTCATGAGACTGGCACAGGGCTCTGCTATCTTGGCTTCTGCTGTCTTGTCCACCCCACGAAAGGGAGGACTTCACAAGTCCAAGCCAGGACCTTCTTGCCTCTCAGCTGGGTGCTACTCAACCCAATAGGCCAGATCTGCCCTCTTCAGGCTAAGTCCCATCAGAGCCAGGCGAGAGCAAAAAGAGCTCAGGGTGGGTGCGAGGTGTGGCCAGCAAGGACGAAGCCACAGGCTGGCGGTGTGTGTGTGTGTGTGTGTGTGTTAAAGGCCCCAAGAGGGGTGCAGTAGGGGTGAGGGACTCAGGCAGTGGCGGGCTTGAGAACAAGCGGGCCACATCCCTGTACCTCCAGGAGGCCAGCCCTCCACACCCATCCCTGACGCCAGCCTACCCGCCGCAGGGTCCGCCTCAGTGAGGACAGTGAAGTCGATGACGCGGGAGGTGAAGTCGAAGGCAGTCTGCTGGCCATCGTGGATCACCGAGATGCAGTGGCGGTCCCCGTAGCTGGCCCGAGGCATGCCGCCCTGGAAGATGGTGAAGGGCAACCTGGCCGGCACAGAAGAACCCTGGGCTGGGCTGGGGCTCCCAACACGAGCTCAGAGAGCCCCCGGCTGAGCTAGAAGCTTGGACTGTCCTGGGACCGAAGGGGCAGGACCAGGAGGGAGGCCAGTCTCGAGGTCAGCACTCACTCAAGGTCCCCGTGAGGGGAGGGGTGGACCCCCATCACTTCCTGATCGCAATAACCCAGGAGAACTTGGGCGTGAGTGTGGCTCCCGAGCCTCTGCTTCGGGCAGGGCTCCCCACCCGCTCCCGCGGCTGCTTGTGTGTGGGATCTCCCCGTATGTCTCTGCCTGAAGAAACAGGTCTCCTGCTACAACAGAGTTTGGACCCTGCTAATCTGAATCATCTCTCTGGGAGGGTGGAGGGAAAGGTCAAGAATGTTTGCTCAGGAATTAGCCATGAGAAGTAATGAATGGCCTGCTCTCCTTCTGCTGCCATGCGGGACCCTAAGGCAGTCCCTAGACGCTGCCTGCCGCCAGCAGAGGCCACAGCAGCCCCCCAGGAAGCCTGCAGACCGGGACAAGGACAGAGCATGGATACCTACCCCTGCTTGGTGGTCAGCCAGAAGATTTTGGTAATGGCTTTGCAAGGAAAAGGACCTACAAGAAAAGGAACCAGCTTGCAGAAACTCTTTACAGAGTCTCATACTGACCTTTTTTTTTTTTTTTTTTTTAAAGTAAGTCCCACACTGAAGCCCAACATGGGACCTGAACTTACGACCCTGAGACCAAGACCTGGGCTGAGATCAAGAGCTGGTGCTTAAACTGACTGAGTCCCCCAGGTGCCCCAATAAAGGAGCCAGCCTGAACTGGGCCGTCCGCTCCAGGGTCCGTAGGGCACAAACACTTCATGCCCAAACCCGCACAGCAGACCTGTGCTCAGAAGTCCCTCCCTGAGCCGTCCCCCGAAAGAGCCATGAACAGCAGCAGAGAACCCACCACATGGCTCTGGACAAAGCCTTCACTTCTTGGGGCCCCAGCTTTGCTGCTAGGAGGTGAGCGCCTGCACCCCAAACTTGGAAGGACAGACCGGGAGCAGAGGACACGGCTTTGCCAGCGGATGGGGGTCCCGGTGACAGGTCAGGGCTTGTCCCACGAGGCGGGCGGAGCACTGACCGTAAGGCGTGCAGCTGCGCAGAGGCTCTGGCTGTGGGGCATCCCCGGAAACGGGCCACTGGCAGTAGCTCCCATCGGAGTGGCAGCTGACAATCACGTGGCCGTCCCGCTGCCAGCAGACATTCTCCAGTTGCTGCAGGGGAGGAGAGGGAGAGGGCGCAGGCCGGGATCAGGGTGCTGCTGCCGACACCGGCACCCGCAGGCCTCAGCACAGGGCTGTCTGGGAGGGCGGCACGGCCCCTGCCCCCCCGCCCGCATGGCCTACCTGGCTGCTGAGGAAATGGCAGAGCACGCGGCTGGCCCGCAGGTCCCAGATGACAACGAGGCCCCGGCTGTAGCCGATGAGGACGCAGTCGGGGTCGCGGGGGTGCTCCTGCAGAGCCTCCACCATCTCAAACACCCGCCGCTGGCGGGCCTCTTCGGGCAACCTGGTGGACGGAAGCGTGGTGAGGCCATGGTGTCGCTGCTGCTGGCGGCCGGGACCGACCACGGGGCACAGGTGCACACCGCGTGGTTGCAGCAGTGCAGCAGGATCGCGAGGCCATACCGCTGAGCGGGGAGACGAGCACAGGACAGGACAGTGAGGACAGAAACTTAAGGATGCAAACCCGTGGGGAGGGGTTACAAGGAAGGAGAAGGCAGTGACCTCCAGGGAGGGAGGGGCTCAGGACTAGGACGCGTGTGTGGGGGCTCCAGGGAGCAGGCGGCAAAGCCTAGTGCATTTCTGCGTAGAGGTGGTGTTTCATAATAAGAAAAGTTTTTAAAACCCACTAAACAAAACTCTCTACATGAGTGGGACTGGCCTTGAGCTTTGACCCCCTCCTTCTTCTCTGGGCCTGGAATGCTGATGTGAAGTCCGGAGCTGCTGTAGCCAACAAAGGATGCGAGGTGGCAGGCACAGGACCCAGAGCCAACACCTCAGACCAGAGAAGGCTAGGCAAACAGCCTGGACCCCCAGGGCGTTTCTAGGAGCCCAAGCAAGCCAAACCTCTTTTCATTTAGAACGAGGACTCAGACTGGCAGTAGGGGGTTCCCAGGGCACTCAGACTGGGGGAGGCCCCCGGTCAGACTCCTACCAGCAGAGTGAGGTGGGCATGGGCACGGCCACCTGAGGAGGAGCGCCTCCCGCAGGCCTGCCCACAGACTAGGTGGCCAGGCTGAGAAGCTGCCATGCCTGCTGACCTGCAGACAGCTCTGCTCTGACCACCACCTGGCTGGCCTGACTCTACCCTACTGGGCGGAAACACACAGGTGTGTGCTTGGAGAGACCCAGCCCCAAGCAGGAAGCCTCCCACCCCAGCCTGGACAAAGGGCCCTTTGGAGCGAGTTGGAAGCCTAAAGCCTGCACTGGAAGGAACGGGGTCCCACCGGCTCAAACCTGAAGCAGCGTCCCCTTGGAGGATCCTGGCCTCCTCTCCATCCCGTGAAACTGCAGAACATCCCACCATGGCTAACCCTTCATCTCTTCCACCTTTGGGCCCCAGCCCCCACTCTTCACACCCAGACCTGCTGTGACACCCTCTCTGCTGCAGACATCATCATCACGGGACAAAGCCTCCGGGATCATCTGAAGAAGCCTACAGGGTCGTGGCTGTGCAGGATCAGTCCACGGGGCCTGCATGCAAATGAAAGCAGCAGACTCCAAAGCCTACGCCTCCCCAGAAGTTGCCCCTCCTGACACAGCGAGGTTTGGGCCCCATCTGCCCCGGCGAGGAGCCCCCGGGGTTTTGAAATTCACGGCAGCAGCGCGAAGAACACCAGACTAACAACTGGTGCAGGTGCAACAACCGTGAGGAGCCTCATTTCCTTCACCTCTAAATGAAATGACAAATTATCCCCCAGACCTTTGGAAAGCGCTGTGACGCTGACACATCATGGAGTCAGAGTCTCCATTTAGGGGCCAGGTGGGGAGCTGAGAGTCTCTCCTCCATCCCTATAGGCTTCCCAGGAGAGAAATTAAAGTCCCCTGAGACATTACTGGCACAGAAGGGAGAAGGCCCTGGCTGGCTGGAGCGGACGGCCTCCTAGTGGCAGGCGTTGGAGACTCACCGCTGGAGCACGGCGTCTGAGCTGATAGTCTGGTCCTCCAGTGTGCGGAAGGCCGGCAGCTGTACCACAAACACGTTCCCACTCTCAGTGCCCAGATAGAGGAGCTCGCGGGAGGAGTGCGGCAGGACCACGGTGATCTGTGTGGCACTGGGGGCAGCCCTGAGGACGGAACGGCCGCCAGTGAGCCGGCTGCTACCCTGGCAGGGGAGGCCCCAGCACAGGCCATGCCTAGGGAAAGCAGGCCTGTGAGGTCCTTTAATGGGGTCCTTTAATGGTTGTCTGGGGCCAGGATAAATATACTGATTACTTTCTCCCAAGAAGACAGATGGTGGAGGGCTTGGGCTGGGAGGCAGAACACCCCTTCCAGAGCCTCCTGTGTAGACACTGTGTGGGGATGGAGGGAGCCAGGCCGCAGCCTCACCCACGCCAACAGAACACCCGCAGGAGGGGCTGCCTCGGCTCAAACCAATGCTGGGCCCACCCAGAGCGCCACAGGACCTTCAAAGGGGGATCCCACCCTGGAGCTGGGCGGGCAGGTCAGGCTGGAAGGGAGGGGACGGGCACCGAGTCCTTACCCCGGGGGACCACGCAGCGTGAAACTCCCATCTTCCTGCAGCTCTGACACGCCGCCTTTGACCTTCAGGCTCCACAGGTGCAGACTGTTGTCATCCAGCAGGGTGACCAGCTGGCACTAGGGAGGGGATGGCACAGGAACCCGGAGCACGCCGTCTCATTCACTATGGAGGGGCCAGCATTCACCGCGGCCTCTCGCCCACCCCGCGCCGGTTGATTCAGAGAGCCCAGAACCAAAAGACCCCTGGCAACTCTTTGGGTGGTCCACGAACCCGAAGCTGGGGAAAGGGGAGCAGTTCCCAGCCCTCCTGGCAGACCCAAACCCAGGGCCACCAAATGCCTCTGTACACCCCTACCAGGTGACGTGTGAGGAAGGGGGCGTGGAGGTCCCCTCACCTGGCCAGGTAGGAAGTGGATCTGTACCACAGCGTTGGTCTCCCGATGCAGCCCCATGAACTCCACCCCTGGGGCGCCATAGCTACGGGCAGTGGGCTCAGGAAAGCTCCAGAACGCAGGATACCACCCACTCCCGCTCAAGGGCCAGGACCTCTGGGCCCGCATGGCAAGAATATAAATACTTCAGCGACACAGACAGCCTCACCCCCACCCCCTGCAAGATGGAGCCTGGGGTGGGGGGTGGAGGCAGCAGGGGCCCTGGCCTGAGGGGGATGTGGCCCGTGGTGATGTGACACCAAGGGGCCAGCTCCAATCAGGGGAAGCTTTTCCAGCCAGGCAGGTGGGGGGTTGGGGAACACACCTTACCCTGGCAAGGGCTGCACTGCTTGCTACAGCTTCCCCCCTGCCCCCACCACCTGAGCCGCAAAAGACCCATCAGCTACCACAAGGTGGCACCTGAGACAGGGCACCCCCTCCCCCCAGGGCCCGCCCCCAGCAGCTTTGGCCATGAGTTCCCACTCTGGGGACTGGTGACCAGGAAGGATATGGCTGGGGCCCAGCAATGATTAACCAGCTGAGAGAGAGTTCCACACCACCTACAGCCTAGGCCAGCCCACTGGGGGCAGCTCCCACCCCCGCCTCCCCTGCTCGACCTGATGCAGAAGAACAGGGGGAGTCACAGCTTCCCCCAAGGAGGGTCCGGCTGCGCTCTCCATGGTGGTCCCCCACCTCCCAATTCTCCCAGGTGCCACCCTGGCTCACTCTAGGGGCTCGGGTGGGATGTCAGTTTGGGGAGCTCTCAGACTTGTAGTCCAGGCCAGCCAGAGGACCCAAGCAGTGAGTAGTCCTCCAACCTGGAACTATTGGCTTGCTTCTGAAATGCTCCAGAACCAATACTTTGGACGGAGGATGACCCTATTGGACCATGTCCAGCCTCAGGCCAGAGAAGGACTGTCCGTGCCAACCACAAGTCCATTCTCTCTGGTGTGCCTGTGCAGACACAGGGGGCGTGCATGGTGGGGCAGAATCTGGAAACCTTAGCATTGCTCCTCTCCCCCTGGGCCGCCCTGGGACCAGTGTGCTGACTGGGAGAAAGGGAAAAACAAAACAAACCAAAACAACCTTCCTCCATCTACTGCATCCATGGCTGACTCCCAAGAGGGTATGTGGACCATCCCAGGAACAGGAGGGCTCATTACAACTTGCTTTAGTTTGAATCCCACCAATGCCAGGGCCCCGCCGGCTGGGAGCTGGGGGAACAGAAAGGATACAGTTTGACGGCTCCGGAGCGGGTGCCAATGGCCAGGATGCGCAGAGACTGGCTGTAGCCGAGGGCACTGGGCTGGTGTGGGAAGCCGTGCTCCACCGTCTGTAATGAGAACCAGCTCGGCACGGACCTGCAGACAAATCCCCTTCACCCGTGCGGCTGGAGAGCCGGCGCTCGACAGGGGAGCTGCAGCACAGAACCCCCCCCAGCAGGTAGGAGCACGAAGTCAGTCATGTTTGGGTTCCTACCCAGACACCTGAGTGCAGAGCCAATCCCGGACCCATTTCTGACCCAGTCCTTGGCCTGTCCCGGCCATCCCCGGGACACTCTCCCCTGACACCACACTGGCCACCTGATGCTCACCAGGAACTCGGACCTGGTTCCTCCACCGCCCACACTGTGAGTGACCGACCCAGTCTTCCTGCGGGGGTGTGGGGGAGAGGGAAGCTCTGGGGACTGGCACAGTGGAGGACCAGACAGCTCAGTTAGCCTAGCTGTGCCGCAGCTCTGGGCCAGTCCCTGTGGGTGGACAGGACCCACAGCAGCCGTTCCTGGCCCTTGGCCGTCCGAGGCTCCTCCAGCTCTGAACGCAGGTACATTTGCTACCGTCTGTTCTCCACTACCCTTCCAGAGAAGCTTCTGGAGTTTTGTTGCAGACACACACTTTTGCTCATTTCTTACTACAGAACACACACTGCAGACAACTTGGAACGTAGAAAGGAGTTTGAAAAACAATCACCCGTGCTTCCACGACTGGAAGTGACCCTTGCTAGCATCTTGGTGTCTGTGAGTCTTTCTTGTGTTGTGACCATACACTGGTGTGTCTACACTTAACATAGAGACTGGACTGGGGTCGTGCCCCACAGCTGTGTGCATATGCACAGAGCTATGTAGCCTATCTGCCCGCCTGCAGCCAGCCCGAGTCATCCAAAACACCCAAGTGAGTTTTAAATGGCTGTGGAGGGACACCTGGGGGGGTCAGTCTGTTACACGTCTGACTCTTAATGTTGGCTCGAGTCTCAATCTCAAGATCGCCCTGTGTGGGGCTCTGCACTCAGCGGGCCGTCTGCTTGGGATTCTCTCTCCCTCCTTCTCCCTTTGCCCCACCCCCAACCCCCTGCACAAGTTCTCGATCTCCCTCTCAAATAAATAAATCTTTAAAAAAAAAAAAAAAAAAAAAAAACAGAAAACAAAAAACAGACAGCTAAGGAATGTTCCCTATGTCCAGGCGTCCAAACCCGCCAGGCTTTTGTTGGTGAGCACTTCCTGTTTCTATAGGGCTCACCACTGCCAGCTGCATTGATGACCTTCCTCGGACCCCTCCTACCTTTGCCTACAACTCACTATTTCCTTAGGTAGGTGTCCCAGGAGTGGAATTACAGGCTTAAAAAGTATGGATGTATATACGACAGACTTGGACTGATAAACCATCTTCGGGAAGGTTTTTTGTTGTTCTCACTCAGCGCTCCCTGCCCCCTGCCTCCCACTCCAGGGGATACGGAACCTGTAGAGCTAGATCAGAGCACGGCAAAGGATGCCAGCCAGATGCTTTACTTTTTTTTTTTTTTAAAGCAACGGAGGCTCGGGGTGCCTGGGTGGCTCAGTCGTTAAGCGTCTGCCTTTCAGTGGGTTAAAGCCTCTGCCTGCGGCTCAGGTCATGATCCCAGGGTCCTGGGATCGAGCCCCACATCGGGCTCTCTGCTCAGCAGGGAGCCTGCTTCCCTTCCTCTCTCTCTGCCTGCCTCTCTGCCTACTTGTGATCTCTGTCAAATAAATAAAATCTTTAAAAAGAAAGAAAGAAAGAAAGAAAGAAAGAAAGAAAGAAAGAAAGAAAGAAAGAAAGAGAGAGAAAAAAGCGTCTGCCTTTGGTTCAGGTCATGATCCCAGGGTCCTGGGATCGAGCCCCAAATTGGGCTCTCTGCTCAGCGGGAAGCCTGCTTCTCCCTCTCCTACTCCCCCTGCTTGTGTTCCCTCTCTCGCTGTGTCTCTCTCGGTCAAATAATAAATAAAAAGCTTTAAAAGCAAAAACAAAAAAGCAATGGAGGCTCTGCCCTGCAGAAAGAAGGTTGCACCAGTGAGGCGGCTCTCCTTAGGCCCAGGGCTCCCCTCTGGGCTTCCCCTGGCTGTCCCATCAGGTTCAAAGGAGCAGAAAGAGAGAAGTCCTGCTGACAGTGGGCACAACAGTTTAGCAAACCCAACTGCTGGCTGCTGGCCTGTCCCATCCAGTCCAGTGGCTCATGGAAGGAGGCCCCAAGGTGGGGTCAGCCGAGGAGGAGAGCTCCAGAGACAGCTAATCTAGGGACACACAGGTGTAGCAGCCCCCTCTTCCCTGGCTCTTTGCCAGGAACTAGTCTACCCTACAAATGGCTATACCTAGACGGGACAGACCGGAGAGGAGTGACCCAGCAGGAGCCCCCCTGGCCAGCCCAGGTCCCCGTTCAGCTATGTAAAAAATGCAGCGCCTGGAAAAGCCTTGGGGAGATAGCAGTGTCTGGAATGTAAACATTTCCCAGGAAAAGGAGGGCAGGGCACGTGATGGTGCGTGTGGGGACCAGCTCCCCCAGGGCCCCCCGGGTAGGCCTCGGCCAGCTTCAGGTTGCTGGAGCCTTGGCCAAATCATCAGCCAGGGCCCAAGAAAAGGTTCCTGGGATGGTGGCATTTTTCTCTCACCCCAGTTAGGAGCAGAGTGGGGTGAAAAGCCTCTGGAATTTGGAGGAGTCTGGGGAAAATGTCCTGCAGGAAGGAGCCCTGTGCCCAGGAGGAGACGCATGCCTTGGGCCACCCAGTGTGGCAGCCGTGAGCTGTGTAGAGATACTGAGCACCTGCGGTGTGGCCACCAAGGAATGGAAATTTTAATTTAATTTTAATTAACTTAACTTTAAGAATGGCTGCCCAGTTCAGTTGCTGGAAAACTTTCCAGGTATGCTGCTGGATCCCAAAGGCACAGAGGCTGGAGTCAGGCAGACCACACTGTGACTCTCCCTTTTCAGCTGCACACCTTCCAGCTCTAACTACAGATTATGTAGCCCCACAGAAAGGTCTGTGTCTGAATTGAAATATGCTGTAAATGTAAAAGAACACTTAGCATTTCAAAGATTCTGTATTAAGGCGGCAGGGGGTGGGGGGGGCACCCGGGTGGCTTAGATGGTTAAGTAGCTTCGGCTCTGGTCATGATCTCCAGGTCCTAGGATCGAGCCCGGCATGGGGCTCCCATCTCATGGGAACTTCTCCTCCTCTCTCTGCCTCTCCCCCTGCCTGTGCTCTCTCTCAAATGAATAACTTTTTTTTTTTTTTTTTAAGATTTTATTTGAGAGAGAGAGAGAGAGAGAGCACACACACGAAGAGGGGGAGCGGCAGGCAGAGGGAGAAGCAGGCTCCTGCCAAGCAAGGAGGCTGATGTGGGGCTTGATCCCTGGACCCTGGGATCATGACCTGAGCCAAAGGCAGACGTTTTAACCCACTGAGCCACCCAGGCACCCTGAATAAATAAAATCTTAAAAAACAAAACAAAACATACAAAACACCTAGAAAAACCCTCATTAATTTCTAATGACTACGTGTGGAAACAGTAATATTCTGGATACATTAGATTAAACAAAAATATAATATCAAAGTTAATGTCACCCACCTAAAAAACGTAATGAAGCTGCTAGAGTATTTTACATTATATACGTGGCTAGTAGTATAGTCCTTTTGGACTATAGGCACTGCCCTGGACAATTCTGCCTCAGGACAAAGTCAAACCAAAGAGAACCAGCCTGCAGCTTTGTTTTTCCGTCAGGCTCTCAGGCCACACACTGCCTACCAAACCCCTGGCGGTAAGTTCTCCGAACATCGCGCCCCGGTCGCTCCCATTACAGGCTGGCCTCTTTTGCCTGCTCTGGAGGAGACAAAAGCTGGGCCTATTCTTCAATCTCTGGCACTTACTCCTTATTTCCTTCAGGGTCCTGGGGACACTGCCACCACCCCTGACTCTCACCTCCACCTTCTTTCCCACAGGCTGGTTTAGAAAGAACAGGGACTGAGTCGGGCCCACTAGGCTCTGAATTCCCCTCTCTGACACTTAAAATGCCTTGGCACTTGGGGGAGTTCCTCTGCCTCTCTGAGCCTCATTTCCATCTGATCAGTGGGCGGATACCAATGACTACACTGGACCAGAGGCAGAGGCTTGAAAGCAAACCTCTAGACCATGGTCAGGCTCAGCGGGAAGGCTCAGCTCAGCCCCCTGGAGAACATAGGCCTTGCCCCACACAGCTTGCCTGCCTTCTAAAGGTCTCCATCATTCCCTTGTACCCTCCAGGCATCTTTGCCAGGGGACCATGGCTCCTTCAAGAACAAAAGGAGGGGAGGAAATGCCATGCTGCCCTTACCTGGTCAGGGACCAAGAGAGTGGGTTCAAATGTAGTTAGTGTGGTGACAGGGGATCCCCCAGGTCTGGGGAGGTTGGTGAGGAGAGGTGGACATGCAAATAAAGCCCACAAATCCCAAAGTGAGGCAGTTACGATCCAATAGGAGGCCTGAAACCCGCCTACAGACTGAGAGAAGAGGTGTGTTACAAGAGGACTGGGGGTTATGTTGGGAATGGGGAAGGAAGGGATTTGGGTCCAGGAAGAGGACAGAGGTCAACGAGGGAGGAGCTAGAAACCCAGAGCAGCGTGGAGAAGCAGGAAGGTTCTACAGGGCACCTCTGGCCTGTGCTCCAGCGGTAGCTGTCCTCCCAGCCTCAGATGTCCTCCCCTTCCTTGGCTGTCCCATCCCTCAACTTCTAACAGCCTTTAAAGACTCAGCCCCCTCACTGGACATGGGGCCCAAGAAGTGGGATCAGTCCCAGGGGCTCCCTCCTGTGGGACTTCCAAGGGGTACTGCAGTCCCAGATCATCCCTCCACCAGGATAGGGAGTGGGGCAGGGGTTCGGCAAGGAGAGCAGAGCTCTCTCCAGCTCAGAGGGAGGGAGGTTGGTTGCCTATGCCTGACCCCCCCCTTCCCCCCACTGGGGCCAGGCTCCCCTTCCTCCTGAGCTCAGCATCCAGCCTACCTGGCCCTGCCCCAGCCCTGCTACCTGGCTCAGGTGACCTCTGCCAAGGGAGGAGAGAACAACAAACTCTTTTGACAGGAACTGGAAAAGGAGAGATTTGCAGGAGCCGCCAAGCTGCAACATTAGCCTGGTGTGGGAAAGAAAGCCCTATCTGTCTCACGCTGGCTCCCGGACCCCACTGCAGGTTCTCGGAAGGGAGACAGTGGGGGCCCTTCAGCTTGCCCTCAGCAGGGGAGGATGCTGGTCACGAGCCAGGGCTGAGGAGTCCCTGGCCCTTGTTGGGGGGCTGGAGGGAGGGCTGCCTGGGGCTGCAGGGGGCACGCCCAGCTGCTGGGCTGGGTGGCACTGCCCTGTACTGGGTGTGGTCAGCTCAGATTCCCGGTGGTGGCAGCAACCTGGCCCTCCCTGTGTGGCTGTCACCTGACACCAGGGGACCAGCCACAAAAAAGCCAAGAAAAAGCAACCCGGTCCTGGACAGGGGCAGCCAGTCAGGAACACACTGTTTGTTCGGCAGGGGGCGGGGGGCTGGGGGTGAGAGGAGCGTGGGCAGGCCAGGCAGAAAGGGCCCAGAGCCTTTATCAGCTGGCTGGTTTTACCAGGGGAGGGAGTGGCCGCCAGGGATTTCCAAGGAAGGAGTTTTACTGTGGCATGAGTTTCTGTCCCCTTGAAATCACTCCCTCTCCACTGAGATGTCCAGTGGGCTCCACAGTCCCCTCATGTGGGCCCCAGTGGCTCAGGAGACTCCCTCACAGGCAAGGAAACTGAGGTTAGGGAGGGGACATCGCCACCCTCAGAGCGCAGCTGGTGGGGAAATGGGACCGGCACCCCCCCCTCATATGCTCTGGCTGCTTGAGCCCTGGAGGCCTCAGTATTCTCACCCACAGAATGGGAATGCCACCTGGCTGTGAGGTGCCACGAGGATGAGGTGAGGCACCAACTGTGTGCCAGGTGCCATTCGAAGCGATTTAACTTTGCTTATGAGCACACCGACCTGGACGCAGAGACCAGGCATCCGCTTCACAGATGAGGAAACTGCGGAGCGGAGAGGCTCCGTAACGTGTCTGCAGTCACGAAGTGGACAAGCGGCACAGCTGGCACCTGGCCCTAGGCCACGTGGCTCCTCCTCACGGCACTACTTGGACCCCTTGTCTGTTTGGTGGAGGGTTCAGGGCATCAATCCGTCTACAGACACGGCTCCTTCCCGGGGACCACCGGTCCAGTCTGGACACTGCTTTACCAACTGTGGGCACCTTCAGCGGGCTGACCTTCACCTGCGTGCGAATGACACCTGCACAGACAGGCCACCTGAGGCTCACAGCGCCAGCTCTGCATATCCCGCTGTCTGCAAAGACCACGGGTTCCAAGGCTCCCCAAACTCAAACCTGAGGCCAGATAATGCCCACAGAGCTGTGCTCTGAATCAGCCTTTCAACTTAGATCTTAACTCACATAATCCTCACACCACCTCTCTGGAGTAGCTCCTGTATCATCTTTTTTCCCCCCCGAAGGTTTTATTTGTCAGAGAGAGAGAGAAAGACCAAGAGAGAACACACAAGCACGGGGAGTGGCAGGCATAGGGAGAGGGAGGCTCGCTGCCGAGCAGGGAGCTCCATGTGGGACTCGATCCTAGGACCCTGGGATCATGACTCAGGCTGAAGGCAGACGCTTCACTGACTGAGCCACCCAGGCATCCCTGCTTCTATCAGCTTGTGGAGACACGTGACTTGCCAAGGTCACCTAGCTCATGAACCTCGGCAGACAGGTCTGGGGTTGGCACCACTAACCAACCCCTGGGCCGAACTCCCTCTCTATCAATGGAGATCATCACTGGTGCTCTTCTGTCCAAATCAAGCGCACCACCATCCCTTTCACCCGCTCCTCAGCCTCCCAGGGCTTCTCCCTCTCCAGGGCTTGGCACCATGACATGCCCAGGACGGAGCCTCCCCAAGTCATGCCAGACACCCACCTCCCTTCCCTACCCAACACAAGGCCTCATGCCCTAAATAGTTCTCTAATCCAGTGATCCTCGGCCAGGGGCCACTGGGCAGCATCTGGAGACATTTCTGGTTGTACGTCTTGGGGACCCAGGGTCAGGGATGTCACTAAACGTCCTCTCCACGTGGCCAGCCCCAAATGTCAGCAGTGAGAAGGTTGAGAAACCCTGTTCTGTAAATGCCCTCCCTGTGTCTCACCGTCTGGGCCTCATCCAGTCACTGCAATGCTCCCCTTAAAAATAATTAAATGGGAGCACCTGGGTGGCTTAAGCATCTGCCTTCAGGCTCAGGTCATGATCCCAGGGTCCTGGGATGGAGTCCCAGGCTCCCCGCTCAGCGGGGAGCCTGCTTCTCCCTCTCGCACTCCCCCTGCTTGTGTTCCCTCTCTCACTGTATCTCTCTCTCTCTGTGTCAAATAAATAAATAAATAAATAAATAAAATCTTTTTAAAAAGACCAATTAAAGGAAAAAAAGAAAGAAACTTATCTTCCAAACTGTGAATGGGATCACGCACTCCCCTGCTCAAAACCCACCACAGCTATGGGTGTCAGTGAGGCCCCAGATTTCCAGGTTCCAGGCTCCCTCAATCTGACACCAGGAAGCCGGGGGTGGGGGGGGCGGAGGAGGGGCTGGCCTGGGTGGGATCACCAAGGTTTCCAAATATTCCAGGATCTGGTCTCATCCCTCATCCCAACCCTTCAGGCTCCACGTTCACTTGCTGTCCAGGTAAGACCAAACCTACCCACCTCCCTTCCCTCCCTCCCTTCCCTCCCTCTGCTCCCAGTAAGTGGCCTTTCAGACCATCGGCCCCCTCCCACCTTCTGGACTATAAAAGTCCTGGAGGGCAAAGATCTTATCTGTGATCCCAAGCCCCAGCCCCAGCTGGTCTTTCAGTAGCTGCTCAATGCAGGTTTCTAGCACATGAATGGAAGGAGGAAGGAATTCCAGGAGCCTCCCCTCCCCTTCTCCGCAGCCAGGCCTGGCGGTGGGGCAGCCAAGTTTGGGGGCCGCCAGTTGTGGGGCATGGGGGGTGGGCTGAGTCCTCTGTCCCAGCCCCACCCCAGCCCCACCCCACTGCACAGTTGGAACTTGGGGCAGGGGTTCCTCCCTCTGCTGAGCCTGTCTATCCGGTTTCTACTAGAACCGGCCACCTTTTTGGGGTGTGAGATCTCTCGGTGTCAGCAGGGGCAATGAAGGCACATGGGGGTCTCCCCTGCCCCCAGGAGGGTGCTGAGGTTCTCAGACCAGCACCCACGGGCCCCGAGATCTCCCATTCCTAACAGCTGCACCCCATTTCCCAAGGTCCTAAAATCCTGCCCACAGCTTCCTTCTGCCAGTGGGAGGAGGTGCTCATTCAGGGAAGCCCCCCCCCCACTGGCCAGTGGCCTCAGCGAAGCTCCAGGGCCACACCTGCCACCATCAAACCAGAGGAAAACAGCAGGGTGCCTCCACCCCCCTCAGACAAGCCCCTGGGTGTCTCTCCCTTGGAGGCCGCCCCATCCTCCCCACCCCCAGAAGGGCAGCTAGTGCTCCTGGACCGCACGTTAACTCTGTACAATCCCTGTAACACGCCTACCCCGTGGAGGACAGGCACCAGGTCACCCGGCGTCTGAGTGGCCAAGCTGGAGGGGAAGCCCTGTCCCTCAGCATGTCCTGGGGGGGGCGGGTGTCCCTGGGCATCCTGGTGCTCCGCTTCCCGCAGGCCACCTTCCGGGGTGGAGGGAAGCTTGGGCATGCGGGCCGGGCCTAGATCAAAGCGGACCTAAGCAAGGCTAATTACCCCGAAACGGGCAGATTGCTAGGTGGCTGCGGAGCTAATAAAGCACGGAGCGCCCCTGTTTATAGGCCAGCTCCGCCTGCTCGCGCCCCGGCCGCCGGGAGCTTTGGGGCCCTCCCTGCGATGTCGGGTGGCAGGGTGCTCCGGTTTCAGCGGGCCTTAAGAGCAGGTCTGGGGTTGGGGGAGCCAAAGGCCAGCCTGGCACAGTCTCAGGCGCCTCTCCCCACTCACCCAGGCGTAGAGCCTGCCACAAGAGTGCCACAGGACTCACTGTGGTCTGCCTGCAGGGAGAGCGGTGTTTTCCTGTGGGGGCGAAGTGAGGAGAAAGGGGACAGCCATGGGCTGTGGCCACTGCCTCAGAGACCAGGCATCACGGGAACACTGCTACACCTGGCAGGGTTCAGCCTCCTTCACAGCCCCGTGAGGACGCAGGATGTTTGAGCCTTATTTTACAGGTGGGGAAACTGAGGCTGGAAGAGGCAGAGTGATCTGCAGAGGTCACACAGCCAGTGAGACTTGGGACATGGAGTCCTGACGCCTGGGGATCCCACTGCCCGCTTCCAGGAAAGTCCGCCGACCAGACCCCATTTCCAGGGTCAGGTGCCCATGAGCCGGCAGCGCCCGGGGAGCAGCCCCATCCAGGTGAAGGCCGCCTGAGTGCCCCAGCCCCAGCCCGGGGAGGGCGGCCAACGCGGTGCTTCCCCTTACCTTGTTAAACTGGAAAAGGTCCCGCTTGAGCCTCTCCCGGGCAGGGTCATGTCCTGACCTCAGGAACCGCCTCATGGTGCTTAGCGCACAGCCCCCTAGAGAAAGAGAAGCAGCTGCTGACCACCAGCGAGAGGTGGCCACGCAGCCCTGGCCCCAGCACCCACTCTGGCTCCCAGGCACCAAGGGCTTGGCCCAGCCCAGCCTCTCTCCCCAAGCCCAGCAGCGGCTTCTCTGTCCGCCCTCTCGTGCACCCTCACTCCACCTGCAAAGGACAGTCCAGAACCCCAGGGACGTCTATACCTGGAGGTCCAAGGCTGACCCAAGCTCTAACACTTGTTCTGGGCCACTGCTGCCTTATAAAGCCAGCGGGAGAAGCTGGAGGAGGAAGCCATTTCGCCCGGCTTTATAGGAACAGTGGCCCTGAGGTTAATGAGCTTAATTGTTAACCTGTTTTCTGAAAAACCATAAAACCCCAGCTAAACAGAAAGGGAAACTTCACCAGCCTCTCTCTCCAGAGCCCAACTGGGAGGCAGAAATGCAAAGGCTGTCTACCTGGGCTCCCAGACCAGAATGCCACCGGTGGGGGGCTGGGGGCTGGGGAGGTCTCTGGGGTCGGCACCCCCAGGCACACTCTGCCTGCTGACTGCGGGGAAGGCTCTCGAATCACAGTTGTTGGGAGCCTGAGCAGGTGAGGAGCAGAGCGCAGGGTCGGAGGGCGCCGGCCCAGGCCAGCCCACGCCAGGGACCCGCGGTGGAACTGGGTCCACCCCACGCAGCTGCTGGGCTTTCCGGAGCTGCAGCTCTACCCCTGGGCTTCCTGGCCGGCCCCCTGCCCCCATCTCTGGCTAACCAGGTCCCAGCTCCCCTGGGCTCTGATGGACGCACTGGATAGGGAGACTCCCTCTCCCATGGGCCTAAGTGGAGTCTTATCAGGAGAAGAAATCTGCTCCGAATCAAGAAACCAGCTCAAGGCCCAAAGCCCATCTGCCCAAACCATCTGAATGTAGAATGCTTTCCCAACCCAAGGGGAACTATTTCTGGATCATCCTTGGGGGAAGGGAGAAGGATCATCTTCACTGCAGCTTCCGGCCAGCAGCAGCTTGGCCTCCCACTGACCGTGGGACACCAGGGCCTGTCCTCAGCAACACAGGGGCCCAGGGTAGCCGGACTCCCTGAAGAGACTAAACGGACCCGGGCGCACCCCAGAGGGGCTTACTCGGGGCTAGGGCAGAGTGCCCTGCCAGGGAGGCATCAGGCCGGGGTGCGGGTTTGGGGGAGCACCTGGCCCCCGCCATGGTGGATGTCCCAGGGGAGATGTCTGAGACCTGAAAGATGCCCTTTATTTCCGGCTTCTTGTGAGGCGACAAAAACTAACCATCAGGCCGGGGCTCTGCATATGAATGGACCCCGTGTGGTCCAAGACTGGGGGCTCCCTCCAAGGCACGTGGATGGCAGAGGGAGGCCATGGTGGTGGCCTCTGGTAGAACCACCAAGGGCTGCCATGACGGAAGGGGTCACCCCACTTGGCAGAGACACACTGGGGGCAATCCAAACACCACCCCAGCTGGGAGCAGGTGGAGACCAACCCCCCAGAGTGCCATCACCTTCTGGGGACACTGAAAAGACCCTCACTTGCAGGAGGGGGTGGGGCAGATGCAAGAGATTTGTGCCCTTCCATTCTGGGGGAGCCGGAGCAGCCTGGGGAGCCCCACTTCCCTCTGGATCGGCAGGTAGTCGGGAACCTGCCAGCTGCCCACCTGACCCGGGGTCCCGAAGCAGGTCAGGGAACACAGGGAAGCCTGGGAGGCTCTGGGGACTGGGAGTGACAACAGCCCTAGGCTGGCAGCAGCGACCTGGGGCTCCCAGACAAACAGCTGAGCGGTGGACTCGCATTCCAGCTGTGGGGGAGGGCGGCACAGGCCGAAGCTCATAAATCCGCTCGGCTCCGGCTCCAGCTCCCTCCAGCTCCCGGGGGCGCCCACTCTCCCTTCCTGGGCCGAGGTCACTGGGTCAGAAGTCAAAGGAAGCTGGGAGTGCTGCCTTGGAGGAGAGGGGCCTGCAGACTCCAGGGACAGGGTGATCTCAAGAACCCACATGGGCTCGCGGGTGACAGGGCACAGCCCCAGGGAGGAGGTGCAGGCGGGCGGGAGGGAGGCAGACGGGATGTGGACACTGGGGGGAGATGGTAGGCACCCTACCCACCCAAATGTCCCTCAGAGCATCGGCTACATACCAGGCACTACCCAGACCCGGACGTCATACTTATACTACTTTTTTTTTTTTTTAAGATTTTATTTATTTATCAGACAGAGATCACAAGTAGGCAGAGAGGGGGAAGCAGGCTCCCCACTGAGCAGAGAGCCCGGGGCTGGATCCCAGGACCCTGGAACCCTGACCTGCGCCAAAGGCTGAGGCCCCAACCCACTGAACCACCCAGGCACCCCTACTTTTACCACTTTTTAAACATTTTGCTCGAGTACTCCTGCTCACTGTTTAAAAAAAGAAAGGGGAAAAAAAAAAAAAAAAAGAAAGAAAGAAAACAATCCCAAGGAGAAAATCCTCCCTAAATCCCACTACTCAGGAGTAGGCACAGTGGGATGTTGGGACACGCCCTGCCCCCTCCTGCCTTCACACTTCTGTACAGGGGACACCTAAACCCTGTCCCGGATGTTTGTTTGCCCTCCACCAGCCTCCCTGGACGTCCAGTGGAAGATCTCCACTTGGCAGACCAGGAAATGAAGACCACAGAGGCTGGGTAACTCGTCCAAGGTCACTGAGGAGAAACCGGCAGAACTTGGATTTGCCCCCAGGTCTGCTGAACTCCGAACGTAGGACCAGGGGAGGCAGGGCAGGGTGGCTAGGACAGGCCAGAGGGGTGCCTAATCACGGCCTCGCAAGAGAAAGGCCAGGGCGCACGCAGGCCTTCAGCTCGGAGCCAACCAAGGGGTTCCGGGCCTAGGGCCTGGTCACTGCTGGTGACGTACCTGAGGTGCCACCTACTCCACAGAGGGCTGGGACCGCAAAGGCACGGGGATGGGGGTGGGTGAGGGAACCAGGACCAAGACAGGCAACCACGGCACCTCTTCCTCACTCCCGCCAACCCCTCACTGTTGCTCCCAACACAGAAATAACTGCCCAGATCCAGGCATCAAAAGTGCCACCACCTCTTGAAGGGGAGCAGGTCTGGGACTCACCGGACTCACCTCCAGGCAAACCCTCAGCTCCACGGACCCCAGCTAAGTGGGTTCTCCAGAGAGAAGCTCCAGGAACCCGGACCTGGAGCTCCCCGGAGTGGAAGAGATCCTACCCTCTCTCCTGGGGGTGGGAAATGGGGTGTGGGGGGTTGTAAGGGAAAGAGCCAGGGCTTGGGACCAACCGCTGGGCTCAACCACCACAGCTCAGCTCCGCCAAGCTGGGTGGCCTCCCAAGGCAGCTGCTCGAGGCCCAGCGAGCTTGTCTGTACAGGGGGACGCATGGGTCCGCTGGCAAGAGCAGGAGCCATGCCAGGTGCCTGGCATGGAGCAGGCACGGTCCTAGGACTGGGGACACAACAGCGGAAAAAGACAGGCAAGAGCCTTTTTTTCACCAAGCTGACACCTCGCAGGGCGTGCGTGTGATGACTCACAAGTACAGAAATCAGTCAGCAGAACGGGCTCGGAGAGAGCAGGCCCAGCAAGGAAACGAAGGAAGGGGCCAATCCAGAGTGACCAGGGTGTGGCTGGAACGACTCAGGGAACATTCCTGGGTCTGGGTCTATGGGTCTGCTGTTCCTTTGCTGGGACGCTTTTCCTCCAGATACCCACCGGCTCGTTCGCTCTCACCTCTACTCAAATGTCCCTTCTTCCTACTGCCCAGCTTTGCTTTGGTCCTTAGCACTGGTCACGGTGCCAACAGTGTCCTTACTAATCTTGTTTATTACCCGTGCACCCCTCCCCAAGGACGAGCCTTCTCGTTCTTACTCAGGAGTTTTGCCCCCTTTTCGCTGAGGCATCCCTGCTGAATGAATGAACAGAGCCAGAAGAGAAGCCTCCACCCAGACCTGCACGATAGGAAGTGGTCAGCCACGGAAGACTGGGGGCAGGGCAGGTCAGGGGAAACGGAACAAGCTTGCCTCTTCCAGGAGGATGACAACAAGCCCAGGGGCGAGTGCAGGCAACAGGAGAGATGGAGTGGGTCAGAAAGGGGGGGCCCCAGGGGCCACAGCAGATGGCCTCAGGCGCAGTTCACTGGGGGCCCACTGAGAGTCCTGGGCGGGGCCCACCTCGGTCTGCTCTCCCGCTCCTACTCCATTGCCCCCTCTGCTCAGGGCCAGCCTATCTGCTCAAGCCCCTTCTGCTAGTCTCTGAACTTTCATCTGAAATAAGCCTTCTGCCCCTCATGCAACCCATCAGAAATCCTCTTCTAAAGAGCATTCTCTTTCTTCACCTGTCCTGATCACTTTCCCCCTCCTCCCTCAGTGCTCGACCACACCTTATGCTAAAATGGTCCCTAAAACCACCACGGACAAGGGCACCCATCTAGCTCCTCGAATGTTCTCCCCAGCGTTGCTGTGCTGGTCATTAAGGTATCAGGGAAGATCAGAAGCAACCCAAGGGGCCCGCGCCGGGAGCTGGTGAAGCGTGCTCAGGGTCACGACTGAAGGCAGAGAGTCATTAAAAGGGCAGAAGACAATGGACGTAGAACCGTACGTAGAACCCTGAAGTCAGGTAGACGCCATTAAAAATATTTAAGTAAGTAGACACCACACTGGCAGGGTTATGGGATTAGTAGAGATTTTTTTTTCTTCTTCTGGTTTATCTGCCTCCCAGGCAGGGTAGGTAAGAGGATCACATGTGAGAAGGGGTGAAGGCCCAGCCGGTGGCCAGGTGTGAGGGTGGCCCTATGCTCAGAGGCAGTCCTGTTGGTGGGATGGCTCCTGCTCTCTGGGGGGCTGGGCTGCCCTCTAGCCAAGGTAACCTGAACAGGGGAGAAGCCTGCCCCCTGGACACCAGATGGGTGCAGAGGTAGGGAAGGGACAGGTGGGTGGGACCAGCTGCCTGACCTCAGGCTTCAGGGTCCCAGCACCTGGGGGTAAGGGACATTACTATTGTATAGG